GCAATAAACGTGCAAAAGCAGATTTGTGACACAATATCACACATTTTTAGCTTCTTGTCACAACAGTGTTTCTCAATCTTTGGTTAGTTGAAATAAATCAGTGGACACCAGCTTTTCAACAACATTTACCTGCAGTAATTATTAGAGCAGCACATGCAGCTTCCTTAACTCCATTTAGCACAAGCCCTGTAACCGGGACACACAAATTCTGTCTCCATTCTCATTATGAGGAAATGAAAAGTGAAAAGGCAGCTAAGGTCAGGAGGTGTAGGAGGAACAGTGAGGGCTTTTTGCTCAGGAAGCAGGTGTCTCCTGCCTGCTCCTGTCTGTCCTGTGAGGACGGACGAGACGAGGACAGACCCAGGAGGCTTGTGATGTGGTTGCATCGACGGAATAATACAGGTGGGAGAAGCACAACAAGAAGTCGACATCCCATAATTCATAGAAATGAGCGCACCTTCGTCATCTGTAAAGAGGTGGCATTTATATTTTTGCCTAAATCTGTGTTCATGTCTGTTAGCAAAATATCTCATCAAACATGAGAGATTTAAATYAAACTCCCAGAAAACAATCTATAAATGTACATTTACAACRGGTTAACTTTTAGAGTCAGTCGTAGTCAGGATGGACAGAGCAGCAAAGCAAACTTAGCAAACACACAACTGGATACACCTCAGTCAGCTTTGCAAATGCAGACCCAAGTTTAGTGTTAGTATGAGACTGATCCTCAACACATCCTCAGAGCCTCACCTGCTCCAGTAAGATGTCTTTTTAAAACAGTGCCAATGACTATTTGAACCATCACTCTACCTGTTAGTAAAATATCTTATGAACCACTTGGTGGATTTTAATGAAACTTCCAGGAGGTAATCYTTGGTTGTACATGTACAACAGATTACCTTTTGGAGTAACTCTAATTCACCATGTTCACCACAGCTAACTGACATTAGCAAACACAAATATGGCRACAATTCAGTCAGTTTTACAGATACTGAATTAGAATTTGGCAAGGTTGTAGCTAAAACCCATTCACAACACTGACCATGACATCTTTCATTGTCACATGAAATTGTGTCGCATTATTTTCAAAGTTTTGATCAAAAACAGTTATATCTTTGTGTTTTATCCACATAAGTTGATCCAAATTTAAGACGCTGGCATGAAAATATGCATTACTTCAGGTTATGCCAGACCTTTAGTCTGATCAATCATAGTCATGAAAATATCATTTTAGCATCAAACCTAAAAGGAGAAAATTCAAGCAGGATCTCAAAACAGGCTTGTAAGAACAGCATGGATTCAAATGTATATTATTAACCTCTGAAATGTCTGTGCAAATTTTACTGTTCATCTAAATTAGGGTTGGGCATAATCGTATCGTGTGCAATTAATCGT